CAAAATATGCAATTTCTCTGAATAAACCCATGGGTAACAATGAATGTGTGTATAGGCTTTTGGCGATACATACTGTAAACCAACTTTTATTCGCGTGCGAGAAATATTACCGAGTGTCGCGACCTACTTAAAGTTACGAATATTAAAAGCTTCGAACCGTTAATTTTACTTTGTTTTTAACCCCCCCCCCGCCCCGCTTGAAAAGTGGGAAGGTATATAGCAATCGATATTTCCGTCCGTCTGTCCGTCCGTCCGTCTGTTACGCTTTGGGGTACTCATCTCTATCCGCAGCTCTTCTTATACCGCTGAATGAAATTTGACGATACTTTTACAGAATCTTTGTTATATAAAGCAATTGTGCACCTCCTATTTTACTTTTTGATCGAACCCATATTTTGAGTTTTCCGGAAAGAAACATTGACACAGCCATTTTTCTGCAGTATTGAAGGTAACCCAACTCTCATCCATAACTCCTCCTATACATTTAACCACTGGACCAAATTTAATGATACTTTCACAGATTCTTTTTTACATAATGGCATTGTGCATATCCTACCGGTATTTTAGTTTTTGATCTCCCACTTATTTCGGGTCTTCAAGAGCAAAACAGGGGCTTTTTCATTATAATCATATGGAAGGTGGGGGTGTCATTTAGTGAGCTCATTGCTCACAGTACCTCTAGTTTGGATTATGAATCAATGTATCAATATATAAGTCCAGTATTTTTTCTTGTTTGTTGCATTTTTGTAAATAACATGGATACAGGCATCATTCAGTACATAGCACTAATAAACTTATATTGTTTGTAAATTACTAAACTTTGAACGTACTCAGCGATCTGCTATTTTTAGAATTCAATTCTGGATGAAAAAATCGTGATATTTTAAAAGATTTTCACACGAATCATTTGAATTTATTGTTACTGTAACTATATTTCTACCAAATTTGGATAACATACATGTATGACATTAAAAAAAAGATATGACAGAAGACCACGACCTTTTTAAACAAGCATCGTATCACTTTTTTAAAACTAAAGTAATTTTTAATTTTACAATTGAGAATTTTTCAACAAGTAAACTTGAAGTATATATATCAAGAGTATATAAAAACTTCTTTTTCAGTTACACGTTCTTGAAATCAGCAGTTCGTGTGAAAATTTATTCTAGAATTGATTTGTATATATATTCATAATATAAAGAAAATATCTAAGATATATCTTGATAATGTTAAGATATTGTTGAATTGCCAAATCCACACATTTGTTTCTTTTTGCCCTGCAGTCTGACGTCAAAGGCGTCATAGACGCTGCTTTGAATTCTCAAAGCAGCGAGATCAAGGACACATTAACTACAGTGCTGCTATCCCACAAGTTGACATGAGATTGGATCGGATAGGATTCAGGATTCAGGATACAGGGTAGAAACAAATACATTTGTAGAAGAAAATCCAATCCAATCCTTTCCTATCCTGTATCTTACAGTCAATCAGATAAAAGCAAAGGTTAATTAATATTTCAGAATAAATTCCAAAAAGAAATAGAACATAAAATGCTTACAAAAATATTTATAAAATAACAATAGAAAATAAAACATTTTTCCTTCTAAACACAGATTCATATAAAATTTTGAGTGATACTGCGTACATCCTTACCTAGAAGGATCACCAGAAGGATTTTCAAATGTAAACAATGAAGAGTTCAGGAATCATAAGAATGAAATTAACATGCAATTCTATGAATAGCTATGGTGTCATCTAATATATTCTGAATATCTGATTATGAATCTATATTGAAGATTCAAATTTGTACATTGAATAACATTCATTCTTACATGTTATTATTCTTGAAAAAACTAAAAAGTCTTTGATTTATTTAATTTTGAATGTGCCTCTTTAATTCTATCGATGTCGCAATGTGTGCGTACCTGATAGATTCGAGATCAAGTGACGAAAACTACAGTCGGTCCCCTTAAATAATTTGTGATTTTCACAAAGTGGTTTATCAATAATTAAATTCAGCAACGGAACATTTCTAACCATGAAAATGATTAGTTAAGATTGAATCTAAAATTTAAAAAAATACAGAATTAAATAAAAGAGTCATACTGTCATATAAATAGCAATATTGTCGGTTATATTCACTGGCTTAAGTTAACAGAATTAATAATTTTCCTGCTAATGATAAATAGCGTACTATAGATTGATTGCGAATGTTGTTAATTTCTAATTAAAGAGAGTTAACCTCATCTAAACCGACGCCTGATGGATATAACCCTAAGAAAAAATACTATAGTGTACTATAGTTTATTATAGTTAATTATAGTTATAACGTTGACACTTTGAAATTTTTGATTTACTATAATGATAACTTTGACACTTTGAAAAACATTGACGAAAACTTGACACTTTGAAAAACTTTGGCGAAAACTTTGACACTTTGAAAAACTTTGGCGAAAACTTTGACACTTTGGAAAACTTTATCGAAAACTTGGATAATTTATCACTTTGAAAAACTTCGACACTTTGAAAAAGTTTATCGAAATCTTTGATACTTCATTAAACTTTAGTAAAAACTTCGACACTTTGAAAAACTTTATCGAAAACTTCGATACTTTAACACTTCGAAAAACTTTTTGAAAACTTTGACACTTAGAAAAAGTTCATGGAAAACATTGTCACTTTAAAAAACTTTATCAAAAATTTGGCACTTTGAAAAGTTTTAGCGAAAACTTTGATACTTTGAAAAACTTTGAAGAAAACTTTGACACTTTGAAAAACTTTGAAGAAAACTTTGACACTTTGAAAAACTTTGAAGAAAACTTTGACACTTTGAAAAACTTTGGCACTTTGATTTACTATGGTAAACTATAGTTAACTATAGTTAACTATAGCATTATATTGTTAGGGAAGTAACTGTAAAAGTAAAACCTTCCGCGTGGTTTTAATTTACGCCAAAGAACAAAGTAAGAAATTGCCCACGGAAATATGTCCCATCGTACTCGAAATATTTGTAAGGAATATAGTGAGAGCCGAGATACGCGTGAATGAAAGAAAAATCGGGTTTCCGCGGAATTATGACCCAGAAGAAAAATATTACCTCTACAGTAACTTTGTCTCTTTTCTGTATTGGCAGTAGTAGCAAGGAATCTCTTTACCAGCGCCTATCGTGACATGGTGCATAAAAAGATTTGTGACTTACTCGGTTCTTTTACAGAGATAATGGCCAGGGGATCGAACAACTCGATTAATGCTAAATTTACGTCTTGCTAAGTTGATCAGCACCAGCAGTAGAAAGGTCAGTAATTATCTTAGTTTTGCAGTAAGGACAACATATTGTCAAGAATTGTTTAACTTTGTCAGTAAAAATGGGAATGTCAGTATGTTTTTGACTAAGTAATGCAAACAACTTCATGAAAGTAAAATATTTCATGTATCTCGGGGCAGGTTTAATTGGTTTGTTAATATTTCTGAAGGGTAAGATACAGCTTTTTGGTTTATTCAGTGTATAATAGAATACATTGCCCTTATCCAGATCATACGGAATAATTTATATTGCTATTTTATTGATTTCTTGATTATTCAGAATTCTTTTAGCGGCAATATAGGAATATGTTATCGTCAGCAAATTATTCGAACACGTTGAAATATATATCGTAAAAAACAAGTAGGTACCTTTGAACTAAAAGTACTTACAAAAATAGTGGTTAAACTAGAGCCGAGCTCGTTGCAAAGCAACGAGTAGGTCTTCAGTCCTGTTTGACCGGAAGTAACTTTCATTTTAAAAAAAAAAGAGTAATGAAGTCCAAAAATGGGTAAATCCTCCAAATCTATGTTAAGTATTGCAAAATTAAGCCATTCTTTGGTACTTCCGGTTTGACCGGAAGTGATGACGACGGACGGAAAATTAATATTAAAGCTTTTAGTGACACGTATTACCCAAAAAACCTGTCAAAAACGGCAAAAATATGCATTTTTTGACTACTTCCGGTTCGACCGGAAGTGACATCGCCGGACGTGTTTTGACGACCCCAGTAGATAAAACTTGATATTTTGAACAACTTTGCTTCTTTGATGTATAACAAATTCTCAATACTTTTTGAGATATCTTTAAAAAACTTTTGGCCCCTTTAAGTCCCTTAATTTAGGGGTCAGCCCTTTTTTCTACATATCATTTGAAAGATCTTCTAATTCTGCACAAATTATGTTCTATATATTTTAACAAAATATTTTTAGTTTAGAAGATAAAAAGAAAAATATGAGTAATTTTTGGTTCTTTTAAGCGTTCTAATTTTTGACCCCTATATAGCGCCATTTTGAATAAAGAAATCGAAAAACAAAAACCGATGTGCACAACTTCAATCATTCTTTTATCTAAAATCAGTAGAATTTCTGCTCCAGCTTTAGCCGTCTCTGAGCCTTTGTCTGGAAACGAAAGCCTATAAATTTTCCTTTAAAGGGAAATAACTCAAAACCGGAAGTGGCTTTTTGAAATTTTAGACAGCATTCTGATAGAATTTATTAACGTCTATAACGTCTGAAAATTTGAGCGAAATCCGTTGAGAAATGAGCAAGATATGAGGCCTCAAGGTTGCGGTCTAGGAAGCAGAAGAAAAAAAGAATAATAATCTTTACCAACAGAATCAGTAGAAGGTCTTCCGTTGGAAACGGAAGACCTTAAATATATTAATATATCCGGGATTAAAAGTTTGCTAGCCTGGTACCTAGAGTGTTTCCTTTTCACATAAGTTGATATGCTATCAAATAAGGGACGTAAATATCAGTAGCACTTTGTTCAGTACTCTAAATTTTGGATTTGTATTTAGTATGATGATGCACATACAAATGTTGTCCAGCAAAACAGTTAATACACATATTCATATTTTTAATTATTCATTTTTGCAAACATGCATTTCATAATTTCTTAAAAGACACTGATTTTCTATATTCTGCATTAAAAAAATACACATATATATTCTATAAGCAATTCAATTGTACATAAGTTCAAGTTAAATAATTTATCTGTTCGTATTTCAAATTTCCATTGCTCCTGTATTTCTACCATGACCACTTTCTTCAAGAAAAAATGTACCAGCATAGATAAATAATAATAAAACGGCGACCACAGCAAAACCAATGATACCTGCAGCCATTGGAGAAATGGTTCCTGTCGATGACAAGCTCAAGAGATTTCCTTTTAAATCTTGTTTTACGATGTTACGGTTGGTATATACTTCCGAACCTGTTACATGTCATTGCAAAGTTACGAGTAAATTGCCTGAACTTAAACAAATCACAACACTTTTCATATATAGAAAATTTTACAAATGCCCACGTAAAAATGAAGAAATAATAGATGAATTTAAACATAAAGTTATACACATGTTATAAGACGCTGATACTTAGCCTTGAAAATATTTTTTTTTGTTTGTATCTTTAATTGTTGTTGTATATATATTTCATTTTAAATTTTAAAACACTGTTGAAATAAGAAAATTCATATATCTAGAGAAGTGAAGCAAGATGATAATTAGAATTAAAATTTATTACTTAAATTTATTTCATTTCATCTATATATTTTTATTTGTTTAATGGCAAATTTATTTTTTCTTTATTTTTATTATTTGTTATTTTTTTAATTCTTATTTTGGTTACTCCAAATTTTCATTCAGAAAATAATTTTAATTTTAAAAAGTGTGGACTTGATTTACACTATGAGAACATGTACAAATATATAAAGCATGCTCCTTCTTTAAGTCTATCTATATTTAAAATAGGCTGTTGCATTTCCGCCACTTTATACAATTTACGTTCTCAGGTAAGAAATACATTTCAATATATAGAAAAGTAATTCATATCTGTACCTTTTTCACTTATCGTAAATAATACAGGAATTGTTTTGATTCCCAAGGATTTATCAACGATGATGAGAACTGAGGAACTCTCGGATGGACGTGAAAGATACCCAGTATCTAAAAATCAAACGTTACCTTCACTTATCTTAATATTGCATTTTCAAAGTGTTATGTTAGTTTGTTAGGTCCTATGGAAGGCACTAGAAAACATGCATTGTTTATGAATGTTTTAAAAATTGGGATATTTTATTCCGAAATTATTTGATTAAATTTAATTTGATTTTTTTTTTACTACTAAGGAATTTGCATTAAAATTGAATTAATCTTGTAATCTATGCACTGGACATAAAAATGCTTTATTTAAAGTAAAGGTGGGGAGAAATATATATGTATCCTCAGATAAAAAAAATAATCCTTTCAGACTTCTATGTTACACTACATGTACGGTACCTGCAATGACTGATCTGGTTAAATTATGTTTACATCCTTTTTCAAAATGACACATATCCTGCTCACAATTACAGTGTTCTTGACACATATATCCAAAATTAGGATATCTGCAACTTTCCTTGCAAAAGTATCCATAATACCCGACGTCACAATCTACAAAATGAATTAATCTACTTTTATGTTTTAAAATGAACATAGGAATTTATAGCATAAGATGATGGCATACCTTGAGGATTTTTCCTACAGCCCAAAGCATGGTCACAATTTGATTTACTGCATCTACACGAGAACTGGCAGTCTTTTCCAAAAGATGGGTACGGACATAGATCATTACAATCTGGTCCGTGAAAGCCCAAAGTACAGGCTGTTGAAAGGAAAATTACTTGAAATTAAGATAATGAAATTTCAATTTTATGATTTGATTATGTTGCTTAATTAGGAACTAGAGTGTAGTTTTAACATACGGGTACAATTGCCTACAGCCTTCTTCCAAACATAACCAGCGCAGCAAACTGTGGTACCATCAAATCTATGATAAATTATATTTTTATAATGATAAGCAATATATTAAAAACTATTCCATTTCTTCTGTAATATTTTGATAATTTATTAATATTAAAATTTCAGTGCAAATAAATGGATACATGTTCAATAGTCGAAGGGACTGAAATCTGATACAAATATTACTTACCCAATGCAGTTTGACAATGTAGAAAATCTTATCAGTTTCAAAAATTCTAAAAGAGCTGAGACTATAGGAAGATGTCTCATAATTCAAAATTGGAGGCTGGCTTATGACATGTTTTCGTCTGTTTAAATATTTTAATGAAACATGTACATGTAACTAACATTTCCTGAGTACCACTTAGTGAATTAATTTGAACTTAAACCTAATGTCCTTTTTTCCGTGCCAGTCATTCGTCCAATCCTTACATCTTCCTGATTTTATATAATTGTATAAAATATCATATTTGCATGATTATTTGGAGATGCTTATAATTTCACATTATTTGTTATGTAATCTTGTGGAAGGAAATTTGTTTATGTTTTATCAGATGTTACATAAATAGTGTGTGTAGCAGATGATAACAGATTAATAAAAACTTATCATAGCATGCATATATTTCTAATTAATATCTGCGTTTTCGCATGAATTTTTTATTCATTTATTTTTTTGTTGAAGGACAGTGTTTTACTTTCATTCAGATGCATTTGTTTTGCCAAGATTACATGTTTATCAAGGATAAAATTTAACATGTGACAGTCAAATGTCTTTATGCTTACTTACTTACTTAGGCCTCTTTTTGCCAGGTGGCACATAAGGCAGCCACACAGTCTCTCCACCCAGTCCTATCCTTTGCTTTTCTTTCTACTTCTTTCCATGTCATCCCTATTTCTTTCTCTGATGTTCTACGCCATGTTGTTTTTGGCCTGCCCCTTTTTCTCTTGCCGTCTGCTGTCCAAAATATGCTCTCTCTTGTGATGTTATGATGGTCTTTCCTGAGCACAAGTCCAACCCATCTCCACTTTCTTCTTACAATCTCCTTTATGCTTAAGTGTATAAAAACATCCCTTCTACCTAAAGGAATATTTTTTCCTTCACCTAGAGAAAATGGATCACAAAATATTTTGTTCTAGACTAGAGAACGTTTCTAGTCGAGCCTTTTCATTGTAAGACATTAAAGTCAAGTTTTGATTATTGTCCAATTAATTGAACCTTGAATTTAACATTGATGTCTATGGCCAGCGCTAGATTTTTTAAAAAGATATTTTAAATAGAAATACTAATTTGTAAAAGGTAATTTGATATCAAACAAATCTCTTGTTGTAAATACGCGTAAAATCTCTCTTTATTAAACTATGAAAGACAATGTAAATTGAATCATTTGCACGGATATTTTGAGAAATTAAAAGTTTATCTCTTACTTCAAGGACACATAACTCTACCAATTTAATAGCTTTAAAAAATGTCTTATTTTCATCCTTATATTTTAAGTATGCGAAGTTGAAAACGGTTCATTATGAAAAATATTAGACTCGCTGAGGCTCGCAAACCACAACGCAAGTCCAATAGTTATCATTATTATCCGTTTGGGGATTTTATCTTAGTTAAAACATTTTTAAAGCTAAAATGTTAAAGTATTGAGATAAATTCAATAGACACTTGTTTTGTCTTAAAGAATGCTATTTTTTTTTCTTCTTATTGTTTTCCTTCACTTATTTACAATCACCTTTTGGGAGCCCAAGTAAAGTTTACAGTCTAATATTACATCAATGGATATGCAACGGTCAGATCTGTCAAGTATTATAACAATAGACTTCACGTAGGAAACGGCCCTGAGTCTTCAATTTAAGTAATCGCTAACCTAAATCGCATTCAGTAACCACGATAGAACCAGAGAGTGATGTTGAAATTTTTAAGATTCAAAATTCTCATAGCGATAAATCATATCATGACACTGATGCTATTTTGAATAACATTCTTGATCTGGACAACTCCAATACAAATTTTGAATTGTGCGCTTCTCCTTTATTCGTAAAAATCCTTAATTTTTTGACATATCGGACTTTGAAGGTGATGACTTGTCATTAATAAAGGATTCCATGGAAGTTATAAACAGGACGTCGACAAAGGAATGTGTTTAAACGCGTTTTCAAAACGCCTTCAACAGGCGTATCTAATAGGTTAGTCCAGTCTACGAAGTCCAAAAACACCGAAGATAAAGCTAAATTGGCTGTGAATGTATTTGATGGATAGAAAGAAAAACTAAACAAAAGTGTACAGATTACGGTAGGACTGGATTCAACTTTTGTGGGGAACTTATGGCCATGGACAATATGTCATTAGATAAAGCTATGCAGTTTTTTATCGCTGTAGTTCATAACAAATCCGGCGGAGAATTCCACCCGGACACCCTTTGTAAAATTGTCATTTCTATACCACATATTCGGCGAGGTAGCAGGAGGTTTATTAGCTTTCTAGATGATACTGACTTTCTTAATATGCGATCAGTATTAGATGCCAAAATGAAAGAATTATCAAGAAAGGGAATCAGGATCAATCGTAAATAAGTAATTATTATTTCAGGGGAACAGAAAAACGAGATGTGGGAGTGTGGGATTCTCTGAACTGACTCTGCAAAAAAATTTGTTGATACTCTGTTATACAGTATCGGATTAAACTTTGCTCTTTGTGCCGGGCAAGAACATCGGAATCTTCGAATTGGTACCACTTCTCAGTTATTACTACACATCTCCAAAGATGATGAGAGACGTTTACTCCAATACACAGAGGATGTATCCAAAAGCAATAGAGAAGGCTCAAATCAAGGCAAAATTGTGTTAAAAGTCACCAGGGCATATGAAAATGTGGATAAACCTGAACAATGCCTTGTTCAATTTTTTGAGAATATAGTTTAAGGTAAGAATATTGCTATCTGAATATTACTTCGAACAACTTATGTTTTTTAACAAATTATGTATACTTCATGATGCATGCAGTGTTCTGAAAAAAATGTTTTGTTAAGTTGAATATTCCTCTTTTGCGTACTGTTTATATTATTTTCCAATTTTTAGACTACCTGATGGAAAATCTACGATCCAACAGAGGGCTACCAAACCCGTATGGTCCGACGACGGGCCGATTGGGGTTCATCAGCTTCAGCAAGTTGTCGGAAAAATATGTAAAGCAGCTGGCTTCAATCGCTACAAGACTGTAACAAGCCGGTGTTGACGAACAACTAATTGAAGAAAAGACGGCCCAGCAGTCATTTCAACGTTGATTCAACGTTGAATCAACGTTGCACTTCAACGTTGAATCAACGTTGAAATTTGGTTGCATATGAAAGTTGAGGCAACGTTGAAACATAACGTTGTTTCAATGTCATTGAATTTTTGGTTGATTTATGGTTGATTTTTGGTTGCAAATGAAAGTTGATGCAACGTAGAAGCTTCAACGATGTTTCAACGTCAAATATCAACATTGAACATTGTTTGTAATTAGGTTGAGATTTGGTTGAAATTATTAGGTTGTAAAAACGTTGATATTTGGTTGAAATCACGTTCAATTCATATTACGTTTTACTTTACAAAAAATACATTTCAAATTCTAATCTTTTTTTTATTCAAGTTGCGTAATATTTATATAAGTTATAATCCAGTATCACGATTGTGAGAAAATTCATTTTAGTTTGTATTTAAAAGACAAACACAAATTTGGATTCAATCACTGAATATCAAAAATCATTTCTTGACAAAATTTATATTTCTAGTGAAAAGGAGGTCACATTTATCACATCAAGGTTCTTCAAAGTACGCGTCTGTCTTCTACTATTTAGTTCCACAAAGTGGCGGATCCATTGATTTTAATCACGCATATACATCTGTAGTTAAGTCCCACGAATGAAAGAAATGAACAGGAGAATCCACCCTCTAGAGCAAAAGCCTTTAAATAAAAGAAATAAAGATGTGAAAGAAATTTGTTTGATACATTGTACGTAACACGTTATTTCAAACGAGAAAAATAATTTATATACATGAATAATTTAAAAAATCAGACAAAGGAATATTTCCCGGTACTTGAATTTAATTAACATGATTAAAAAAGAATTATAGTTAACTTAATATTAAAATTCGTATTAGTATGCTTATAAAAAAATTATTACTAATGAAAATGTTATAGACATACAAAGTCATAGTGTACTTACAAAATGATGCATTCCTTGCATTGATGTATAATTTTCACGGGCGAAGAATCTGATGCAATCAAGGCTGACTACATACAATCAATTAGCTGCACCACTGGTTGATTGAACCATACGATGAACTACAATTAATTAAATTGTATAATATATTCATGATATTAGACTACTTATATTTAAAAACCAAATGAATATCAACAATACACATAATAAACGAACCAAGGATGTGCATTTCACGTAGATTTCACATATACTTATAAATCAAGAATTAAATGATGTACAGATACTAAATAAACTGAATTTCTTAAATCCATGAAAAGGAAATAATACTTACTGAGAAGAAGTTAATATTCCAGCTTTAACCTTTGTGTATGTAGCTTGAAAACATATTAAATATGAACAGCAAGGAGACGCGCACTCCTTGTCCATCAGTTGAATTCAAATTTTGACCTAGATAAGCTGCAGCTATACTCTGCCCAGCAAGAAAATTGCATAACAAGGTTATCCTGACACTGAAACTGACCAACTATGCGAGAGGCACTCCTTATCTGATATCTCGAAGGTTTTTGGGGAGTGGATCTTAAGTAATGCTATTTGACCGGGGTTAATTGTCAGTGTGAAAATTGTTATGTGTTTATTTGAATTTTTCTTTTACATATTTTGTAAAAAAAGATTATAGAATAAATACAACTCTTTTGAGTATAAATCAATTCATAATGCATGTGTTTCATTTATTATGTATAATTATATATACGAGGGTTGTTCCAAAAGTTCGTGGACTCCTCTCATATCTTTTTTATTATTACGTCATATGCTAACCAAAT